TGCCTGGACTTCCTGGACAGTTAAATGAGTTCCTAGTTTGCTATGCAAAAATGATGGGGCTGCCCCATTTAGGAGCGATGCTTTGGAGTAATTTTTTTGCTACAAAAGAGGCAGCTGCTTATCAACAGGGAAAAGCTTCTACTCAGGGAGAAACATACAGATCATGACCAATATGGATTTGGTCTCCTATTCTTAACAACTGTGTTTAGATTAGTCATGAAATTTTCTCACGATATTAAACAGCTAGCCAACATCTTAAGTTACCTTCCTTGCTGACAAATTTTGTAACACAGAGAACATGACCGTATTTGACTAGTAAATCCAGGTACAACAGAAGTTGTACGTCTGCATTATACTGAACACACCTCCTTTAATTAGTAAGTAAAAGCTAAAGTTTGTTGGTTTAAAGATTTATCCTAGATCACGTGAACATGAAAAACATTTGGGTAAAGCTTCTGTATTTCTGAGTTTTAGAATTCTTAATTTTTATTTTTCTTTAAGCCAATTAAATACGGTCTTTTACAAATTAATTTTGGCAGTACTATTCAGAGGTAGAAAAATACTACAAATTTCCAACGTACACGCATAGACACAGACAGCTGCAGAGATCATAAAGCTTCTGTTTTAAAATTTTAGCCCTGAGACAGGTACAAGAATGTAAAACTTACTAGTTTAGAAAGAACAGTTTTATCCAAATCCTGTTTCTGGAAGTTGGAGTAAGTGAAGGTTACCTGCTCAGATGGCTAAAGCTTTTCATTAGTATTTGTGGAGAGGACACTTAAGACTTTCTTATTCACTTACACTCCACATAGCCTTCCCCGTCTTTTCGTCCTTCTGGTAAAAATTATCGCCCTGAAGTTTGCATTTCAAAGAGCTGGCCTACGTGAGAGTCCCCGGAGGAGTGTGCAGCTAGAACACTCACATCTCAAAGGTGCGGGGAGGGGTGGCGCATACCTGGCATGCACGAGGTTCTGGGTTCAATTCCCAGCACCTCCGTCAAAATGAACAAACCTAATTACCTCCCCTCCAAAAACTGAAACAAAAAACAAGTGAACAAACAAAGGCACAGGGAAAGAATGCAGGTTCCTCCGAGAAGGACTGATCTTCCCTAAGTCCAGACCTTTTACAATGTTTTGAGGTGAATGGGGGATGTTGGGGCTTGATGAAAAGCATAAGTGGCCTTCTAGAGCTGCATTTCTGCTCTTGCAAAGATGAGATTTATAAGACAAGGACAGCAGGGGATTTGGGCTGCAACGTGAATGACATCAGAGGCTGTCCCACCCATCCAGCTGCATTCTCTTTAGATCAGGGAGCTCTTCAACTAAGATGGAAATCAAAAGATTCCTGTGCTCTAGATTTAGAGCTTTGTCTTTGGAATGTTTTTCTTTCCCTCTGGGTACATAGTTTCATTTTGACTTAGGGCATAAAACCTTTAAAGAGTTCCTAACAGACTCTGAGTATCAGCTTACAGTTTGGCCAACTTCTGAATATCGAGCTACTTAAAACAGTCCTTTCAAATATCCTGCCAGGGGCATACACAGTAAATATTCCTGGCAGTATTGAAAGACCCCCATAGACGCATTCCCAAAGAGGGTGCAAAAGGACACCACCCTCCCAAGGTCCAGAGTCACTCCCAAAGATAACGAAAAGCAGTTATTAAGACTTAGTTCTGCGGGCTGGCGCTCATCACTGGGACCTCAGCTGCAACTGAGTGCAACTTACATTTCCGTTCTATCTGCCCAGCCTGACGGTGGCCAAGCCAAGTTCTCGGGACACAAAACTGGACAAACAAGAAGGTAACAGCTGTCCCTGGGAGAGAAAAGATCACCTGGTGGGTCTGGATTGGGAAAGGAAGGGATAAGAAAGTTTACCTTTCTGTGTCCAGTGGGCACTGCAGACAGAGATGCAGGAAC